TCGGAGGGGTGGGAGTGGAGTCAGCGGGGCTCTGAGGAGATCAACTCACCGTGTGGCTGTTTGGGGGGCTGAGGGGAGGAGCTGTGTCCTCTTGCCTGCAACCAGCATCCTCTGGGTGTTTGCCCCGTGGCCGCATTTTTAGTGATGCAGTGAGGGGGGATCAGTGTGGCCTGAAGGAGACTGGGCAGCGTAGGGATACGGTGAGTCCTGGACTTTGGGACTTGACGTGTGAGTGAAGGTGGAGGTCAGGAGAACTGTAGGGTATTGCTTTTCCTTGTCTGACCTGTGCTCACGAGCACCGGTGTGATCTGAGCACGGAAACAGGCCCTAGCCGAGGGCGGAGAAGGATGGTTTTAAGCTCTCTGTGTGTGTACCTCTTGGGGGCTGTCTGCCTGCCTCCCCCAGGTCTGAGGGGCAGCTCCTGTGCTGGCGGCCGGCAGCTGGGCTGCAGCTGGGAGAGGATCCTTGTCTGCACACACATGTTTGTCTTAGATATGATTGCCCCATCACTAGAGTCAGACACACAAAACCTGTGCCTAAAAGGGGCTGAGGTCAAGATTTCCCCTAAAAGGATGCTAATTAGGAAGGTTATGCTGCAGATCCATAAATCTGTTGTATCGTAATTACAGTAATTATCTCAAGTGTTCCCTTTTTAGGTATCAGTCCTTTATGTTGTCAGTTGAAAGATTGACTGAATTAAAAAGTGGGAAGACGTTCCCTTCTTCGTGTCCCTTCCACTTCCATCTCATTTTTAAAATAAAACATTTGTGCCCTAGTGTGGGTATAGCTGAAAAATGCCACTGTTTTTAAAGCACTGCTTTTATCTTTTATTTCAGGGTCTTCGCCAGATTTCCCAGAGGACCATAAGCACTGCTTCACGTAGGCAGATTGAAAATAGAGTTCCTGAGAAGCAGAAGCTTTTTCAGGTATTGACTGAGCATGGATAGTATAATAATGTTAGTAGGATGACAAGATTTTAGTAGATCATAATTGCATACATTTTGTTTTTAAAGAACCAGTGAAAGTCCTCTTTACATCCAAGGTGACCTGTTGAAATCAGTTATACGACTACAGTGTTTGACATCAGTAGTTATTTCCTACAGGAAGTCGGAGTATTTTACATGCATCCTTGACTTGCTGACTCTTTAGGGTTTTCTACACTGTGAAATGATGTGTACCTGAGTTTCTTATGAGTTGTAGGTACTCTATAAAGGCAAAGACAAAGGGCTCTGAAATGGGATGAGATAGGGGAATATGTCCTAGAGCAAAAAGAGAAAACAGCAAGTGAGAGGACAGAAGGACAGTGGAAAGTGAAACCTGCAGTCTTACAGCTGTATCCATAGCTCATAGATGAGCCCCGTGATTCTTCATGAGGATGTGGTTGTTATTGTATTTCTTAGTTATGGAAACAGTAAAGCTCTTAAGGGATTGGATTCACTGATAGAATATTACTGAATCTTTAAAAATAATTTCTGAATTAATCTCTTCCTGATTGGTAGGGCCACCTAGTGAGAACTAGTGGTTCTGCAGATGCCAAAGCAGCAGGTACTCAAGAGCTCTAGATACTCCCAACTGTGAGCCACGACTCGGAGCAGTAGCTTCACACTGGGGATAGGGTAGGCTGGGCTTCACCTATGGGGAAGGGTAACACCCCAGTTTAATAGCTCCTGTGTCTTGTTGCTTTCCTTCCCCTGGAAGAGAAAGCCAGGCTTGTTGGGACACTGCCTGAGGAGCACAGTGTTCACGGTGAGCCGGGGGAAACGGGATGCTCTCAAAAGGTGAGGTCAGAGGTTCTGTTTCTGTGGGCAGAGGTCTTGAGGCATGTCTCTTCCTCCTCTCAGCCCTTACTTGTGGGGCAGCAAGTGAAGCAGGGCTGGGCTGCAGATCACTGGCCGCCAGCTTGAATTCCAGAGCAGCGTGAACTCGCTGACAAGGGTGAAGATCATGTGGATCTCCTGTCGGTTTATTTCAGGTGGAGCAAAGCAATCTCCTGTGTGACACCAGGTGACAGGAGAGGCCCCTCCCCTTGTCACTCCCATAGCAGGGGTGGACTATGCTGGAGAGATGGATGGGGAGTTTCTAGGGGTGGTGGTCATATCCTGTGCACCTGAGGGGCTGGCAACTGGTGTCAGACGTGTTCAAACATCTGCCAGTCACTGCTTTAGAAATGAGTGTGCACATCATTTACTAATGAGTAGAGTAGCAAAGCTTCCCTAATGAGTCATGGCCTGATCCTGGAGTGACAGCTTGAAAGACAGAGCAGAAACCAAATCAGGTTCAGTGTCTTTTGGGAGCTGGGAAGAGAGTTTGGGGAAGTAATTATTTTTCTGGGTAATTCTAGTTCTATTAACACAATATTGCAAGAACTGTATTTAAATAGTTTCTTTTTATCTCTTGTTTCCATTAGGAGGATAATGGCCTCCCGGTGCATCTTAAAGGCGGTATAATGGATGCTCTGTTGTACAGAGTCACCATGGGTCTTGCAGTTTTTGGTAAGGCTAATATTAAAATATTTATGCTTTGGTCCAATTTCCAATGTGCTAATATTAAAATACTTTTTATTTGGTACCATCTCCAACGTGACTGGCATTTCCTCTGTAAATTCGTTACGCAGTTCCTTCAGTCTGTTCTTTACAACATGCAAAATGGATGTAGACAGGGGAGAAAATAAAGCATTTGGACATACTGTACATGCGTTTGTGCTTTCTCAAGTTGAGCTTTTCAGATTTTTTTTTTTCCCAACTAATAGTACTATAGGTTGAATACTCCTTCAGAATTCATGTGTGATGTTCTGGCTTTCTCTAACTACTCAGAAAGATCATTCTGAGAAGGAGTAGAATGTAATTGTGGCACACACATGTACCAGGTTTCTCACCAGCCTGACTCTTTAGTGCTAGGGGATGCTTGATGTGCTGAGGCTTCATGTGCTGTGCAAACCAGCAGAATACACCCAAGCTTTATGATACCGTCTATATTGAACCTTTATGTTGCTTGTTACGTGGTTTCATAATAGCCTCTAACTTACTAAACAATAACGATGTTGATCTGGTGGATTTTCAGTTCAGTTACTTTACGAATGAGTAGCCATTACTTTATGATGTTGTCGGTTCCTCTCCCCCTTTTTTTCCCATTTCTTTATTTTTATGCAGTCTATGGAGAGCTATTTAAGAATTGCTTTCTTCTAAAATATGAATTGCCAGGAAAAAAAAAAGTCCTTGAGCTGTGGCTATGGAAGTGTGTCTGAATGGCAGCTGCTTATTGTCAATATTTCCTCTGGAACAATCTGGGAAATGAAAGCTGACTTGAAATAAATTCTGTTTGCCATTCTGAAAATATCTTTCTTGTCTCTTAATTCAGGAACAGTGTATGTTGTTTATGAGCTGCTCGGCGCTTCAGTGCCTAAGAAGCAGAAGTGATTCCAGTTCAAGATGCCTCAGCGACTAGCATCTCTTTGTCCAATTCCATGTGACTACGGTGGCAGCTCATTACAAGCAGCTGGCTTAATGCTTGGAATAATAATTTAATTGTAAGATGTTAACTGCAGTCAATAAAGCAGTCTGTACGCTGCGTCTTGGTGTCTGGACTGTATCAGGTGTTCTGCGTTAGAGTGCTTTTTACTTCTAGAAATGTACCTGGAGGTGATCAGTATGCAGAGCTCTGAACTGTGAGCCTCCTTTCTTTGTATGGGGTATGTGTTGGTGCTTTGAAGGTGAATCCCGTGCCCTGAATCCTGACGAGAAATTAATACCTTGTCTTTATCATAGGAATTTCCTCTTCTTGCTTTAGTGAAGCAAATTAATTTTATAGTAGATTATTTGGATTAGATTAAACCTGTGTGGAAGTGAATGTTGAGGACTCAATTGTGCTCTATCGTTGCTGTCACCTGCTGGAAGTTGACTGTAACACATCTGGAAATAGAGGAATCTGGTTCCTGATCACCATCCAGAGGTGAGGTGATAACACTGTCCTCTGCAGCTGCAGGGCTGCAGAGGCTTTAGAGGTAGTCTCCGTTGAACTCAGCACCTCTAACAGATTTCTTTCAGCTTCCCACTACAATAGCATTTTGAGCCTCTTGTGGATGAAGTGTGTTTGGAATTTTTTGTTGCGGTCCTGGTGAACAAGAGTGTGCTTGTTGCATGCTTGAGGCAAACTGGAAGAGAAGGGACAATGCACTCTGAACTGCTGCTGCCGTGTGCCCAGGGTTCCTACCAAGGTGGGGACTGAGGGGCGGGTATCTGGGAGGCAGCATCAGGAAAGATCAAAATCTTTCAAATGCACGTATTCCTTCCCCCCTGCAGGAGTTACGAAGAGTCTCAAAGGAAGGACAATTGTATAAATAGTCTAAATTATAAAAATCCTGTGATGACTAAGCGGTAAATATGCATTTCCGTGTGCAGCCGAAGCAGAACGTGCCGCCGTTCTTGTTCTCGCGCTCAACCGCATCCCAGCCCGCTGGTGCAGGGACGGCCGCAGCTCGTGAGCTGTGCTGAGGGCAGCAGCCCTGGGAGGAGGGCGGGGGGGGTAAATGAAAGGACAAAGATCTTCACACCATAAAGCCATCAGTATCTGTAGACAGAGCCTTGAAATGTTACAACCTGAAGATGTGTCCCTGAAGTCGGGGTGGAGGCCGGTGGAAGGACTGTTCACATCTCCAGGGCCGTGCTGTGGCTGCCGAGCGCTCACGGGGGGCCGTGCACCAGCCGTGGCTCGGCCAGCGCTGCTGGATTCTTTTTCTGCTGCTGGAGCAGTAGGATGAAACCAAACAAGACCCACGGTCAGCTGCTCAGCACCATTTTCTGGGATCATACTAGAAAGCTAGCAGGGAAATTCCACCCCCTGTTCAGCCTAGACGAGGGATTTGCTGCAGGCGTGTCCCCATCGCAAGCTGCCAGGAGATGTGAAGTAGGTGCCCCTACTGCCGACACCGTCTTTCCCGAGGAGAATGCAAAAGGAGAGCTCTGCATCTCCTCTAGGGATAAAATGAACAGAAAGTTTCTTACCTTCAGTGTCCCTATGGGTATTTTATGAGTAGAAGAAATTAAAACAAGCAACTTCTATCACTCCTTGTTAATGTAAGGAGTTATAAATTTTAAAAAATAAAATGGTCAGTAATATGAAACCTTAGTTAGCAGATTATGTACTCCAATTATGTGCATTTCTAGTCTGATTCTATCACTGTAGTGCTTAATTACCACCCTTAAATCAACCTTTTTTGGAGTTAGGTGTTAACACTGGTGTAAGTGTTACTGCCTGATTGCATTCCTATTTTTGATCTGTGTTTAGGCAATAGACATGCTATCTTCTCCACAAAGAGATTTCATATTCATGTAAACTTTATTTTCTATTTCAGGTTCATATAAACTTTATTTTTCAGTTATTAGCATTAGAAATGTTAGCTATGATTTTTTTATATTTTGTTTTAAAGGATGGGATAGCCTCTTGGTGCTGAGGACCTGGGAATGCTGTCCTGGCTTCCTCTGAGCTGCATTGTTCCAAATGCCATCCCAAAACCACGGAGGATATTTTCTGCTAGATAGGCAGTAAGCACTCCATCTCTTCTGCCACTCTCTTTGTCATTATTTAACATTTTAAGCTTTCAGTGTTAACAAGAAAGCTTCCTGGTGTGCCAGCTTTGTCAGAATGAAGAAGATTGTTCATGCCCCTGTCAGAGAAGTGACTATTCAACCAACAATCAGGCAGGCGAAGCAGATGAAAATTGAAACGTAAGTGTTGCAGTTCTAGGTGACACAATCCTGAGACTCCAGCCGTACACACCAGGTTTTACTTTCTCCACTGGGAAGGTCGCTCAGAACTCTCTGCTCTCAGAGCTGTGCCCTGGGCTATGTTCTCTTGGCTGCTGAACATAGGTGTAAATCCAATCAGCCTGATACACACAAAAATTTCCCCAGTAAATGTCTGAGGACTGAAAATGCACAATGTCACAGCATCGCCTTCCTAAAAAGAACATGAAAAAGGTTCAGAAACCCTCAGAAGGAAAATGGAAGCACCAGAGAGTTCAGTGTATGAGCTTATCTGCACTTTTTGTCTTTTCCCAAACACCAGAGTAAAAACACCCCGTTTCTAATGTTGCTCACCTTGGCTATTGCTGCTTTGAACTGGGAGAAAGCTTGATGAATTTTCTTTTTTTTTTCATCTTTCTCATGAAGTTGTCCTTCCTTACTCTCCAGTTATTTCCCAACTCTGTTACGTATCAAAGAGCTGGAGGCTGCCCTTCATAGTTGCTAGAGTGAATCAGACCTTCAAAGACAAAATCACTCTGGTCAACCTGACTTGACCCTGAATAAGTTATTGAGGTGATGAGTAAGTCAGAACCAATGTCTCTTTTCATGTGCATGCTTGTGAAGTTATGTTTTTAAAGACGTTCCTTTTAATAGTGACACCACCTTCTCTAGTCTAACTTGCCTGAGCCTTCCCACTGAGTTTGTCGGCGGTGAGTTCATTCTGCTGTAAAAAGAACAGCTTGTCCAGAAACACAGCCTGAGCAGGCACTGCGCTGCTTTTCTGAACGGGAGCATTCAAGTCTTCAAACCCAGTGGGCAGCGCACAGTTTGTGAGATATTCTTTGGTCTTGTCTCAATGTTTCCCAAGATTTGCTCTTATTAGTGACAGGTTTCTGTTAGCCTAACTGATCACAGCCTTCCCCAAAACACGTGCAAAGCTAAAGCACACTCGTATCTATTGTCTCAAAGGGATATGTCCTCACAAAAAAAAAAAAAAAAAAGCCAGGATTCCTGTTTCTAAATGTTGTGACAAGCCAAAGTCACTTGCAGGGCTGGGGAGGCACTTGGGTGAAGGGTGTCACCTCCCGGAGCCCCCAGCCAGGCAGTCCTGGTTTAGCTCCATAGGGAATACCACCATCTGTATGCAGTTCAGAAACTACCAAAGAGGGATGAATTTGTCCTCTGTTAATATGTTTCCTTCTTTTTTATAGCTTCCAACCCATCAGTCTGACCTTTCTGCAGGGTGAGGGTCTTTCCTCTCCCCTGGCTGGTCTATGCAGTGCAGGGAGTTCTCCCTCCTCTCCCTCCTCAGTATTTGATTGTTCCACTGTTATGTGACTAGCTTTGGTATTTTCATCGGTCCTTTGTCTTGTCGGGTCTTTGCTGGTTGCAGAAAAGGCAAGATGCTGTCTGGTGGGCATGGGAATTAACAGGAAAGGGGTGTTCGGGTAAGATTGGTTAGTATGTAAGCTCTACATAGACCAGAACACAGCATCACAGAACAGTTTGAGCTGGAAGGGACCATGGAGGGCATCTAGTCCGGCCCCCCTGCAGCAAGCAGGGACATCTTCCACCAGAGACATCTTCCACCATCTTCTGCCCAGAGCCCCATCCAACCTGGCCTGGAATGGTTCCAGGGATGGGGCATCTACCACCTTCCTGGGCAACCATTCCAGTGTCTCACCACCCTCAGCATACAAACCCCATGGAAGTAACCATGGAAGGAGCTACAACAGAAAAGACCACAGGAGGCTTGGAGGGTTTAAGTCACCTAAATTAAGGCTTCCTAAATAGAACTGTTACAAACGAAATATGAAACAAACAACGTCAGGTATTGCTCTAAAAGCATATCACAGCACCAGTGCTCTCCTCCATGAGCAACGTGCATCTGACTGCTAATGGAGATGCAGAATAAGAGAGGATTAGAGGGTCTGTGAGATGTCAGTCTAATAAAATGGTGTCTCCACCATCAGAGGTGGATTGAGGAATAACTCTCTTCTTGAGGCTGTCTGTGCAGTTCACCTAGAGATGCAGTTCCTTGCGATTTTGTGCAGCAGCAGAATGCTTTCCTGGAAAAGAACAGCGAAGTGTTCTGTTGAGATACTTTAAGTGTTCCAGCTCCTACAGGGATCCACAAAATACTTGAACTGTCTCATAGTTTCTTTGAGTTAAAAATTTTTAGAGGACTTCTTAGGGCCAAAAAAGACCTATGTTTGTTTGTTCGGTTTTAACAGAATCTGAAACAGCAGCAAAAAAATGTAAACACTTGTAGATGGCTGTCTGTCTTTCCTTTTCCACACAAGTTCTCCCTTTAGCAAGAAAACAGGGCTGTGCAGGACCTGAGGGATGTGATACACCCTTAATGTTCTTACTCCCAAATTAAGATTCCTCTGAGAGTTTCTACACAAATCTCCTGGTATTATTCTCATCAATGTGACTGGAACATGATGCACAACTATTGAGAGATGCGTTTTGGAATGCAAGGGAGAAGGGAGAGGTTCCGTGCTGCTTTCACCGGGCAAAGGGAATATAGAATTTAACCATTTTCATAATCTCTGTTGCTCAGTGGGAAGTTACAAGTCCCAAAGGAGCCAGGCCACCTCAGTTATCCAGGTGTACTCAGTCACCTCCCAGGAGCAGTAGGGCGCTGTGTGGTGAACACAGAGGGTGTGTGA